TACAAGTAGTAAAATAATTGGCCAGGCATGCTGGGGCACACCTGTAGTTGTAACTGCTCAGGAGGCTAGGGTGGGAGGATGGCTTGAGCCCGGGAGGTTGAGGCTGCAGTGAGTCATGATCACGCCACTGCACTCCAGCCTCGGCGACAGAGCGAGACTGTAAAAAAAAAAAAAAAAAAAAAAGAGAAGAGCAAGTGTTGAATTCCTTTTATGTCCATCTATGCTTTCTCTTAAGTCTTGGTTTAAGAGATACTAATAAAGATGCTTCCTAATCTGGCTGCCGTTGCTTTCATCCTCATCCTTATATCCTAGCAGATTTACCAAGAGGATAAATCCCAGCTGGAAGACTTGGACGTCTGGCTCCATTTTCGGCACCATCTCCAGATTAGGGCAGCCAGGGGGAAACTTGGACGTGGAGGGCACACAGCCCTCCACAGACACAGACAACTATGAAGTCAACTATTAAAAGACTCCCCATGCATAAAATTCTTCCATTAATAGTCAATAATGGCTTAATATGTGTGACATATTTTGAGGGCTTTTCCCCTGTGTCAGGGAAGTGGGTACGTTTTTTATATCTCCATATTACACATAAGAAAACTGAGGCACAGAGAGGTGAAGTAAGTGGCCCAAGGTCGCTCAGCTAGCAAGTACTCTAGCCAGGATTTGAGCCCTCTGGCTCTAGAGCCTATGCCCTTAACCACAAGGCTATCCTGCCAGGGCTATACTGTCCTCTTCAGGGTCTTGTGAGGCACAGCTTGAGCTCTGACCCTCTTTGGGTACCCTGGGCCACCCCATGAGTCCAGAGTCTGATTTTGAACTCTAACCAGCCACCCCACCCCAGCCCTTGGCTCCCCAGCAGAGTGATGTGGGTCTGCTCCAGCTCGAGACTACTAGGAGCCCATTGATGACATTGCCTAGAGCCACATCATGCAGAATGAGCTCCTTCCAGCACAAGCCGGCGCTGTTCATTTGGAGCTGCGGCATGTCACTAGGTCCTCATGGTGATGCTGGGAGGTGGACTAGAGTATCCCATTTGGCATGTGAGGAATTGAGCTCCGTGAGGTTAAGTCACTGGCCCAGAATCACAGAGTAGCCAAGCCAGGATTCAAGCCCAGACCTCCACATGCCACATGCAGCTCTCCTTTCACAAATCCACAGCTGCACCCCAGGGATTCCTGGCTGACAAATGTAGTTTGGGTGTCTTACCATGGTCTTTAACCCGCAGGACCCAAAGCTACAGCGTTCCCAGTTCCTTTCCTTCCCAGACTCTCAGGAAACCGCTTCTCAAACTTCTACTTGCTACAAAATTGCTTGAGGAGAGTATTTAAAATGCAGATTCCCAGAGTTCATCCCCCAGGGATTCTGACTTTGGAGGTCTGGGTAGGGTCCAGGACTCTGCATTCTTAGCAAACCCTCAGATAATTCTGAAACAGGAGGGTCCTGATGCACCCATCTCTGAGAAACTTGCTTTACCCATCTGAGCGGTATCTGTCCCAACCCCTTACTCATGGCAAGGGGCCCATAAACCTCTGAGGGATGAATAAATGTTCCGGTGTGTTTCAGGTTTCTCTTTTGGGGGTTGAAAATGTTATAAAGTGCAATGGGAGATTTTCTAGGCAGAAGATGGGTCCTTTGCCTTCTGAGAGACTGGGCTACTTCTCCTGGGTTTCACTCCATAGGTGAAGGTGGAGTGAGGGGTGAGGGCCACCCCTTGAGGGCTCAGCAGGGCCCTGGGCTGCGCCTGTGTTTTCAGACCAGGTTGTTGCTCTTTTGGCTGAAGTCATAAAACAGAGTCCCGGGTGGGTGCAGTGGCTCATGCCTGTAATCTTAGCACTTTGGAAGCTGAGGCAGCCGGATCACCTGAGGTCAGGAGTTCAAGACCAGCCTGGTCAACACGGTGAAACCCCGTCTCTATTAAAAATACAAAAATTGGCCAGGCGTCAAATGAGGAGCACCTCTCTCTGGCCGCCACCCTGTCTGGGAAGTGAGGAGCGCCTCTGCCCCGCTGCCCACTGTCTGGGAAGTGAGGAGCGCCTCTGCCCAGCTGACCACTGTCTGGGAAGTGAGGAGCGCCTCTGCCCGGCTGCCCACCGTCTGGGAAGTGAGGAGCGCCTCTGCCTGGTCGCCACCCTGTCTGGAAAGTGAGGAGCGCCTCTGCCCTGCTGCCCACTGTCTGGGAAGTGAGGAGCGCCTCTGCCCGGCCCCCGCATCGTCTGGGATGTGAGGAGCACCTCTGCCCAGTCTGCTGTGCAACCCTCCAAGTGTGACATGATAGCCTTGTGTGTGATACTTCTGCCCTCCCCAAATTTGCATTTTTGACATTAAAGTTTACTTTTTAATTAAAAGTTTTAAATTGGAGAATAAAAACAAAAAATTAGCCGGGTGTGGTAGCACATGCCTGTAATCCCAGCTAACTGGGAGGCTGAGGCAGGAGAATTGCTTGAACCTGGGAGATGGAGGTTGCAGTGAGCCAAGATCACGCCACTGCACTCCAGCCTGGGTGACAGAGCAAGACTCTGTCTCAAAAAACAACAGAGCCCCAAGGCAGTGTTTCTCAACCTGTGCCCCAGCAGCTTCCGAGTCACCTGTTATTTGTCAAAGATACAGATCCCTGCCCCCAACTCTGATTTGTTAAATTAGGATGAGGAAGAGGGGACAGGGCTCAGAAATCTGCACTCTCAGCTGGCACCCCAGTCATCACTTATGCACATGAATACTTGAGAAATTCTGTCATGGAACATGGACTTTGGAGTGTCACAGACCTGGGTTCCAGTCCCAGCTCTGCCACAAAGTAGCTGTGTGGTCTGGAGCAATCTCAGCCTCTGTGAAACTCAGTTTCCTCATCTATAAGAAATGGGTTACTACACAAGCTTATTGGTCTTCCTGTGAGTTGATCCTCACAAGACCAATCAAACTATGAGGAAATGTACGCAAAGCACCTCGGAGAGATGGCACCCCCGGTCTAGTGGCAAAGAGAGGGATGCATAGAGGAATACTTTCTCTGGGAGGAAAGAGCTGGGAGCGCTGAGCATTGCTCACCCACTGGCAAACACTGACCTGCTCCAAAACAATTCTGACTTTCCATTTCCTCTGTGGGGAGCTCAGTGAAGCTTTCAAAGGTGACTAGGTCCTTTCCCATACTCAGGTGTGAGCCATCCCAAGTTCCAAGTTGGGGTCAGGTGTTGTAAACAAAATATAATACAATTTTGACTCCCTCCACACTTCCAGCTGAGCCCTCCATCCACTGCCCCACCTGCCATTTCCCCTCCACGTGACATTTCCAGATCCCTCACTGGGTGGCAGGCCCAGTCTGAACGGCCCTCTTGGCAAACCATGGGTCTGCCAAGGTCCCTGGGACCTTTAGCCTCAAAGTCAGGAGTTTCCAAGTCCTTCCTTCTCTTTGGCTCTCCCAGTCTGGCCATCCAAAGAAATGCCAGCGCTTTTAAAAAGTTTCGGCCATTCGTAACGGGTTAGTCCACTCCGGAAACATTCCCCAGCTCTGCTGACAGCTTGCCAGGCGACTTGGTGACGTGCTGCTCTCAGCGCATACAATGGGCATGGGAGAACAATGCCGAGGAGAAAAACATCCCGCCGGCGCGGCCCTGGGCTCACATCCTCCTAGGACCCCGCCCCTACATGGGGGGGCGGGGAGGGTAGAGAGAGGGGCTAGAGGACAACTGTGAGAGCAAGCAAGGGAGGGGAAGAGGAGGAGCTCACCCAAATTTCCCCGCTTGGCTGCATTCTGAACCAGTTGGGTGAGTCAGATTAGAAGTCAAATCTGCTTATTCTGGCTCTCCTGCCAGCCCTGGGGCCACTGCTCACTGCCCTGATGCTGAAACGGATTAAAACCTGAGCTGGCAAATAAAGCAGTTCAGAGTCACTGACCTATGGTGCACAGGGTTGGGGCAGGGGTGTGCCTGATAGCAGGCCAACTGTTGCCACTTAACCAACCATGTGCAAGGAGTTCAAAATCCCAAAGCCTCAGTTTCCCCATCCACTGAATTGGGAAAATCATGCATGCTCTGTCTCCCTCACAGAAGGTGAGGCAACAAGGGCTACTGGGCATGATAGCATTTTCGTAATTACTAAAAACTGCAGTGGCTCATGCCTATAATTGCAGCACTTTGGGAGGCTGAGGCAGGTGGATCACTTGAGGTCAGGAGTTCGAGACCAGGCTGACCAACATGGTGAAACCCTGTTTCTACTAAAAATGCAAAATTGGCCAGGCGTGGTGACATGCACCTGTAATCCCAGCTACTTGGGAGGCTGAGGCAGGAGAATTGCTTGAACCTGGGAGGCAGAGGTTACAGTGAGCTGAGTTTGTGCCATTGCATTCCAGCCTAGGCAACAAGAGTGAAACTCCATCTCAAAAAATAAAAACAAACAAACAAAAACCCAAATAATTATTTTAAAAATTACTTGGTCACCAAGTGGTGTCATTACCCTGACAAAGCCACTGGGGGAGGTCACAGTCAGGAATTAGAAAGCATGGCCGTTTTCAACCCAGGCAGCTTACAACTTAAACCTCAAAAAGACTTAAGACGCTGAAAACCTAGATACAAGAGTGTAGACTAGGCTGGGTGTGGTGGCTCACGCCTGTAATCCTTTCATTTTGGGAGGCCAAGGCGGGTGGATTGCCTGAGCTAAGGAGTTCAAGACTAGCCTGGGCAACATGGTGAAACCCTGTCTCTACTAAAATACAAAAAATTAGCCGAGTGTGGTGGCGGGTGCCTGTAAGTCCCACCTACTTGGGAGGCTGAGGCAGAAGAATTGCTTCAATCCAGGAGATGGAGGTGGCAGTGAGCCAAGATAACACCACCACACTCCAGCCTGGGTGACAGAGTGAGACTCTGTCTCCAAAAAAAAAAAAAAAAGAGTGTAGACTATAGACAGCTAGAATTTCTAGAGTGTCTGGCTTGGGGTAAGTCTGGTTGGGGATTGGGAGAATGTTTGGGAAATTTACTGAGAAGCGGTCACTGTTTCTATGCTAAGCTCTGTTTTTTACTTAGGTTGTAGGTATTTGGGTGGCCTTTCAGGCAATGGAGGTTATGAGGGAGCTAAGGCCCCTGTGGACCCCTTGGCACCAGCATTGGCATAGGCCCACTTGCTACCACAGAACTGAGCACATATGGGAGTATTCACAGGGCTGATCAAGGAAGGCTTCCTGGAGGGAGTTTGAGGCATGTTTGAAAGAAGAAGAGGGGGGATTATAAAACACGAAAGTGACAGCAGACACGTTTATGTAAAATCCAGGAGCAAGAATGAGACTCTGAGGGCATCCAGGGCCCATCTTCATTGTAGGGACAGAAGCACCAAGGTCTCAGCCGGGTGAGGGAGTTTGCCCAAGGCGCAGTGCCTGAAACTGGAACTGGTGCTGCAGGGAGTTGGAAGGAAAGAAGGAAGTCCAAACAGAGGGAACGTGGACAGACTCAGGCACAAGGGCTTGAGGAAAGAGGTGCCCTCAGGGAAAATGGGTCCTTGGTCTAGTAGCAAGATTGTAGAGTATGCAGAGAAGTCAGAGCCAGGGTCCAAGGGGCTTAGGCACCTTGCTGGCGAGGAGGCTCAACCCTTAGTGGTTACAGTGGGACAGTCAGCGGGATGTCCTGAAGCCTCTCTGGAGCCCCTCTGCAGCCCAGGAACACCTAGGGGTGGAGGTTGGGGAGTAGAGTTTGGAATCACCTTGGAAACAAGATTGGCTATACCCCGTGACTGTAAATGAGCACTTGAGTCTGAAGTCTAAGCTCAAGGCAGCAGGGGTAGCCCTGAGGTGCCTGCTGCTGCATGGAAGGGAAGGGGGAGAGCTGATCAGGCAAGAGTGGGTTCCAGCAAGTTCCTGATGCAGCAGACATTTCATGTTCTTATTTTCATTCACCGCTATGAGCCTAGCAGTGAGGCCCAACTCAGTTTATGAGGCTTGCGAACCAGGTAGGTACTGCAGGGGCTGAGGAAGGGCAGTGGAGGGAGGTGGAAGGAGCAAGTCATCTGGGCAGCTGTTTACAATCTCTGGGATAATCTCTACCACATCTGTGAAATGCAGATACCAAAGCCCACTTCAAAGCCATTGTTATTTCTGCAACCAATGTCTCTCTCCTTTGCCAGGCTGTGAATTCCTTGAGGATAGAACACTCTATTTATTTCTGAATCTCTAGTGTTTCACAGAGTGGTCTAAGCCAAGGAGCCTTTTTTTTTTTTTTTGAGACAAGGTTTGCTCTGTCGCCCAGGCGCGAGTGCAGTGGTGCAATTAGAGCTAACTGCAGCCCAAACTCGTGGGCTCAAGCGCTCTTCCTGCCTCAGCTTCCAGAGTAGCTGGGACTACAGGCATGCACCACCATGCCCAGCTACTTTTTAAGTATTCTGTAGAAACAAGGTCTTGCTATATTGCCCAGCCTGGTTTCGAACTCCTTGCCTCAAGTAATCCTCCCGCTTTAGCCTCCCAAAGCACTGGGATTACAGGTGTGAGTCACTGGACCTGGACCCAAGGAGTTTTTTTTTTCTTTGTTTTTTGAGACAGTCTCACTCTGTTGCCCAGGCTAGAGGGCAGTGGCACCACCTCAGCTCACTGCAACCTCTGCCTCCCGGTTCACACAATTCTCATGCCTCAGCCTCCTGAGTAGCTGGGATTACAGGTGCATGCCACCACGCCCAGCTAATTTTTGTATTTTTAATAGAAACGGGGTTTTACCATATTGGCCAGACTGGTCTTGAACTCCTGACCTCAGGTGATCCACCTGCCTCGGCCTCTCAAAGTGCTGGGATTACAGGCGTAAGCCACCGTGCCTGGCTCCCAAAAGTTTTAATAAATGTCTCTTAACTTTTAAAAAGTTTTAAAATTTAGGTAATGTTTGTTAAGTTCATCGCCTTTTGCCTAAC